GAAAAACTCATGAGCATCTGATATGAATTACGACTACTGGAATACTGTTTTCCTCAATTTCTACCTTCATTTCCATCCGTTTCATTTATACGGTGAAAGTTTAGCCAGTTATGATCCGTCCAAAAGAAATTCGCTCAGCGAAATATTTGTCACTTTGAACGTAATTTAGTCAAGCAGATTTTGAAAGAGAAACTCGTATTATTATTTTCAAGCAACTGCATGGCTGATTATGATTTACCTGAAAGTGAAGTATAGGTATTGGTATATCTACAAAATATAATACTTCAATTGCGATGAAGCATCTGTAAGAATGAAAAAAATGTTTGTCCTTCATCAATGCAGAAAGGTTCGTAATGACTTTGATCTATTGGAAAGTACTACAAACTAGCTCAAAGCAATTTCTGGGTAATCGTGAGTACCTGATCTCTAAGTCCATACTGATTGAGAGGCATTAGCTACTACAAAGCTCATAGCACTCATTTATGAAGAGAGTTGTAAATGTTCAACCCACACCGTACCGTTTCCTCAGCGGGTCAATCAATCAGCGCCTTTGAGACGATAAATTTGGTACGGAGTATTTTTTGAAAGGCTTTGTGTGGGGTGGCGCTAATGGCTTAGTAAAGACCTCTCAAACGACTTCTACTGAAGAACTAAGGTTCCCATTCCTGGACATCGCTTTTGAGAGACAAAATGGAATTTGGAGGATTTTTCGCAATCCAACATCCATCTTCCCTAACTACTATGAAGGATTTTTATTGTTTTTAAGCTTAAAGTTCGACAATACTCATACGACCGTTCGGTAACATTATTCACTGCTTCTCAAGCCTTAACCTGTCCTGAACTAGAATTTGGAGCGGTTCCAGTGTGCTGAACGAATTCACCGAACAGTTGTTATGACGCATAGGTTCCATGGTTATGCCTGAGAGAAAACGGTCCTACTTTTTCTGTGACCTATAACGTTCATAAACTTTGCATTAGACTTTCAAGAAACACTTGGTGATTTCTCCCGCTCAAATGTTTGAATGTTCATTCGGACATTAAGATTTCCATGAAAATGAGGAGTATGGACTCATTATGCCCTTTGCATTTGCAAAGGAGTCTCAAGTGTGGCTCAAGTACTTTTTACTAACTTGCAGATCTCCACATTAGAAAGAGGAGATTCCGGAATGAACGACGGAAAGGTTGGATAAAAAATCAACTATTTCACTAGGTCTCGTATTCACTCTATTCCCATTACTCTTACCTTTTTCAAGCTTTCTCACCTTTCACCTCCCTCCCCCCCCCCCCCCCCCGCTCCCTCCACCATCCAAACGCTTTTTCTCAAAATTAAGGTATCTAACTCAGCCTTGACAACTTAACACAGTCTCGGTGACAATCACAGGAGTCGGAACATCCTCCGAAAAAATTTGAGATGCCTATAGGTGAAAATGTCTTCAGGGTGTTTAGAAATTACATTGTCATATATTTCCAAAAAAGAACAAATCACCTGTAAAAAGTTATAATGTTTGTAAACCATTTTCATAAAACCTCGCGATTCATGGGGTATTTCATTGTTTTCCCTCAATTAATGAGCATACACCGATTGCTTGACGCAGCTGCATAAATATTTTTTTCGATCTTTGAGTTCCTCTCCACATTTTCATTCACAGCACAAGTCTTGATAGAAACTTTCAAGCTGAGAATGTTGTGAATTATACAAAATTCCCATTTGGGCAATACATTTCTTAAAGTGAAGAAAACAAAGATTTAGTTATTAATTACCAAACTTATAGTCAAATTTATGGAGGGCCAAAAAATTTTGAAGTTTATCTAGTAGGTCGATAGTTAGTAAATAGCGAATAGTAATATTGGGCGAGTTTGAACATTCTCAACAGTAGACCGCAGATACAGATACAGTTACGCTACAGATTTCTCTAATCTGAGAGTAATATTTGGTCGAAGTGGCATTTCCATATGATACGTGCCATTACTCCTTTTAGGCTCCGGAAATACCCCAATTCCTGTTTTACCTTAGCTGAATCAAGTTTTGCTTCAAAAAAACCCTTAACCCCTCGCCAAGAATAGCCTTGCAGATATCGAAAGCAAGCTTGTAGTAAGCGTACCATGCTCTATAAGGCAGTATGCATTTGAGCTGGAAACTCCACTTCGATCAAGTATCATCCCCTTGTAAGTGGCACTTTGTGGTTCCAAGACAGTTTACAACAAATTTTTATGACTAGGAATAGAGGTTTTTCTCGTGAATAGAGAGGCGACAACGGCTTGCAATTCTGGAAACACCAGTTCTAGACGTGATGATTTCGCACTTTAGCCTTATTCGGTCGGGTTCACTAAAGAAAAGTGCTTTAGGTCAGGTTTTGCACAGCTGCTTAGTAAATCAAATCAGATTCGCTTTCAGACTAAAGACTAATGCCCTGACTGCATTTTCGATATGAAATTAGATAGACGCGAAACAACTGCCACAAACTGACTTTTTCATCAAAGTGAGCTTTTCTACAGTCGAGTTAGATACCGTGCTTAATTAGTGTGCCTGCAGACGAGACAATGCTTGTGCGTCAATAATTGCCAATGTGAATATCGGCGAGTGCTTTTTAGTGTTTTCTTCACTTGTTTTTTTACTTTTTAGGTAAGTCGTTGCTGACAAAGGAGCAAAAGGTAAGTTAGAGAGTACTTTCCGTTTTCAAAGTATAGGGCATTCGAAAAATCGTGACGATGGCGCGACCGCGCGCAACACGCACGCCACTTCCGGAAATCGCATTTTCTTGGTTTCTAGTCGAATCTTTTTTGCTTACGCATGGTAATAATTAGACACTGGAAGTGACTGAGCAGAACGTTGAGGTAATGCCTTCTTGTATGAGCGTTTTATGCTTCTGTGGGCGCAAAGTCCGCAGCGAAATCCGTCGTCACGATTTCAAAAAGGAACTATAGTTGATTCACCGCTTATTCTCACAATCAGTGTCTACGTGCAAGCTACTCGCGTCACTTTCTTGTGCATTTCTCTTCTCATGCCTCTTCGCGTCAGTTTCATGCATATACTTTTGTAACTTGATGCCTCCTCTTTCTTCTTGTGAAGTTTTTTCAAACGCTAGTAGGCTTTTACGTATGACTTATGACTTATGACGTATGACTTTACACAAACTATACGATCAAATGCTATCTTTTTTTGAAAAGAAGCCGAAGTTAAAGCACAACCTACTAACGTTCAGAGAAATGCTTTACAAGAAGAAAGAGGCATGACAGAGGTTACACATGGAACTGACCCGACCTGGCTTTTACGTAGATTACCTGAGAATAAGCGATAATGCAATTACTTGACAAACAGAAATTACTCTTCAGCTTACCTTTTTCTCCATTATCAGCAAGATACCTAAAAAGCAAAGAATAAGGCAAGAAAACACTAGAAAACATCGCTCGAAAACTCGCAATGGCCATTATCCACGCACGACTGTTGTCGCGTCTGCAGGGACACTATATTAAGCAGAAAATCTAATTGACTGTATTGTCCGAGTTAGCGAGAACAGGAATAAGTTTACAGCTTTTATCGGCTTTATTGATTTTTAAAAAATAACAACAAGAAGTCATATGTGAACTACTGTAACCGTACTTGCAGAAAAAATTCAAAATCACATAAAGAATTAGTATTCTATTTTTTGGTCAAAATTTAGATAAATCGTAAAGGGATCAAGAAAGAGTGCTGATAGAAAAACAGGAGCATGCTTTTCACAAAGGGCTAAAAGACTGAAAAATGAGCAACGGACTCCAAGTGCGGCTCAAAAAAATCAATGTATCGATCGAAAGCTCCTACTGGGGCTGCGATCGGCGTAAACCTAGAATAATTGGAGAAAAGTGTAGTTTATGAAAATGTGGAATCTAAACAAAATGCGAAATTCCATGTCATGCCAGCATAGGTGAAACATCGAGCTTCGCTAATAGTCATTTCACTCATTTCAAGGTGCATCAAACAATAGCTCGTGCATTTAGTAAATAAGGTGGATGAGACCATAAACTCACAAATATCGAAAAATACAAGCCTGCTATTTCAAAGCGGACCCGGACAGTAAAGGATCGTGTGAACAGTCCTCCTTTTATTCATCTGGTAGCGTTGCTAGGCAAACATGATCGCATTATCATCGTGAATGAAAAGTTCCATTTCTGGTGGTAGTGGTTAGAATATCAACCAAATTTCCATATCAGTAATGTGTAGTCGAAATAAAGTCAGGGAATGGAGTAATAAAAAGTGAAAACTGCACCCATACTCGAAGCTCGCGACACCATGGAAATTTAACATATTTTATGAAACAGAGCCTTGGCACCACCAAAGGAGCCTTAGCATTCAAACTCATGATTAGGATAGACCCTTTTGCCTAGACATTAACAGTTCGATTTTAGCTCTGCCTGGACCAGGGATGAAGATACGAGGTGGTAAAATCTGCTTTCTCACTTCCTCTAACGTACTCATCCCGGAACAGTAAGGTAAAGTGGTCCTAAAAAGAGCTGGCTGAGAATTAACTCAATATGTGCTGATATGTATGCAGATTAAGTACATTTTGTGTTTGTGCTCTGCCTCAAGAGTGAATAGGTATTGATAGGCCTGCCTAAGACAGCTTCTGACTGTATATTTTCGCGGATGAATACGTCCACTATGAAGGATCAAAATGGTGAGTGTTTGTACAATGAGCTTACAGCTTCAGGATAGGACCAAGCATTCTGTGGTTCTACCGTATTCTGTCGATCTACCGTAGTCAAGCAAATCTGGAAATGCAGTGAATTTTGTCTCTTTCGCTACCACTACTGTGGTCACCAGCTACTGGTTACATTTTGTTGCACAACTCTGGCAGAGCCTATGGGCTGTATGTGTGTATGTATGTGTAGTGTATGCGTGTGGTGAAACTGGTGTGGGCGGGTCGTGAGTGGATCTTCTGGCGGCGTCGTCGCGCTAGCGCGGCGTCTATGTGCTAAGCGTACCTAGCCAGAGAGAGAGCGAAGGCCGTCGCGCGCGTGACGCCCACCGAGCGAGCGAACACAGTCCGCACGACGCGCACGCCGACACTCCGACGACGACGACGGCGGCGGCGGGTGCCATCGTCGACTTTTCTGATTCTTCGGCCCCACCCCCGGTTCGGTTCGGCTCTTCACACTGCCTTGACACTGCCACTGCCACTGTGTCGCTTTCATTCCCCTTAGGACCGACCTGCCTAACCCTCGAGTAACCCCCTACAATGCTGCCTTTTGTTATATCTACCGTAACCGTACTGTACTCGCTATGTGACCTGGTACAAACGAAGACTTTCTCCAACAACTCGCTGCTTTTGATTCCGGGTATGGAGTCGATGGCATCCGATAAATACCCCCACTACACGATAATCGAGTCGGTGAGCCGAACCACTCAATGGCATCATCGACATCGACGAGAAGTGATCGCCGGGCCCATCTATGACTGGAACTCCTATGAGATCCCCTACCAAATATGGGGAGGAGACTGTAAGTTTCGTGAAATTAGATATTTGAATTTTTTTGTACTATTATGGAAACAGAGGAGTTTGAGTTTACATTTTTCTCCATTTACGGTTTCTACAACTGTTTTCTTTGCATTTAGTCATCCATTGAAGAACAGTTTTCTCTCCATTCTTGAGTTAATTTGATCATTCCAACTACTAGGACAAATTCTCCTCTTGTACCTTGCCTACTTACTTGCATTTTTTCCAATTATGATCTGAGATCAAAATTCCACACTACAAAAGTGCAATAATGAATGCTTCTTATAGAAAGTAAAAGTTTTTTTTCGCCAATTAATGAGAAGTTAATGGAGTATTAGAGCCAAATTTCATGCCTTTATGGCTCAAGTAACCATATTTACTGGATAAAAAAAAATTTTTCTGTCCACCCCTTCCCTCTTACTCCCCCTTTTTCCCCTTCTCCTCCTCATCGCTCTGCCATCTTATTATGCTCCCTTCTTCTTCCCCTTGTCCTTCTGACTCCGCCCTATCATCTCATTACCCTCACCAAATAAGTTCGTGAGAGCTTTATGGAATGTTAGTAGCATAAGTTTGGTTAATGAAATTTGATGAATGTAAAATTCTCTGCCTTTACCCCGTTCTCCCCCCCCCCCTCTTCCTTTTCCCTCTCCTGTTTCCTATTTCACTTTTATTCCCTCTAACTTGCTTCATAGAGCTTTTGCTGAACTGTCATTTCTAGTAACTGCATTCCCATGAAGTCGCATCCTCAGAAAGCGCTATTTTGGCCGAATGCGGGCTGTTCTCCCTAGCCGGCTGGAATTTGCTTGAAAACGCAAAAAAGGACGACGATTTCCGTATGTTTTCGCATCGCGCAATTGTTTGATCGATTTGCGGCTAACTTCCCTTTGATAGACAATTGGAAAAGACGTAGAGGAGGAAGACTTGTAGAATTTGTAGGTACCCCCCCCCCCTCCCTGGGATCCTTTAGAGTCAGAAGTTTGACTTAGCGATCATTGATCCTGTATAACCATTCGCATCGACGGATTTCGCCAAGCCTAAACCGTATAATCCACTCTATTGCCGTTGCCCGCGCTACGGCGGTCACGGTAGCTTCGATCGCTTAATCATTTCCCTTTACAATCAGTGTTGGAAAACTTGACCTAATAAATCAAACAAGCTTTCCAGAACACATATGACATACTCTCTTTACAAGTTTTTTGGATCTTAAAGTACTGGAGCTTTTTGTTTTATTTATTACCGTATTTTCATTACGAATAAAGATGCGAAGGCATTGAATGCACTACATCAAGGTTAGTCAAGGCTACAGCATTTTTTGCCCGAAAATTTGTTGCAATGACTTACTTATCGTTTCGTTGAACTGTGGATGTTTCATCAACTCGCTTTACCATAGCTTTTTATGTTCAATATCTTGAGAGAATTGTTGAACCGCCAAGTTTTTGTCAACTCAAAATTAGATCTTTTTGTTTTGCTTCCAGATTAGATTTTTCATGAACACATTCAAAATTGCCGAAAAAAAGAGGATGCTTACTATACAGATAACTTACATCACGCCATGTGATATAGAATTGCTTCATAGTTCGCACATTTTAAGATGCTTTTACCCCTATGTTTTTGAGTTCCATCCAAGTCTGTACCTGATTTCCTTGCTTACTGCGAAACTAGATTAAAGTTTTCACTAGGACTTGAATTTCACCAAGTATGCTTATTAAGCTAATGACACCACTTATGACTCCATAATAGTCCCTTATCCGCTGTAAAGAAGGAGAAAGTCGTCTTCTACTCAAGGACAATGTTTTCATATCAACTCACATTTTTAGCGAATGGAAGTGCTTAGAGTTAACTTTCGCGATCCACTAAAGAGGAAAGTTTTCAAGAAGAAGTTGCGCAGCCGGCCATTCGTTAGGTTGAAATCAGCCAAATGTTTTTGCTGGATGCGAAATGTAAGGCCCAATACTTCATACGCACATCTTGAAATGGTTTTCCCATGTTTGTCACACTGATTACTAGAAAGCGTTTTTTGTTCGTCAAGTTCGCTAAATTGCATTCTTGAGCATTTTTGATCTAATAGTTCACAATTACTGTGACGTATTACAAAAATGAATGTGAATTAACTATCAGTCAAAAAGATATCAGTACTACATTTGGTTAGAGTCAACGGTTTCTTTACAGTTTGAACATTTCACGCTTCTAATTTATGCGCGTTGTCAGAATTTCTCAAAAATGGACTTCGTATTTATAAATGTCAATAGTTTTTTCTTCTTTCGATCATTGTATCTTCGAAAATGCTATGAATGTTACGCTGGTGAATTGGTACAATGTTTTTCACCCCGATAAAGTACAATTCTTATGGGAGATTTTCTGTACCGCTTTTCCAAAAAACCTCGACCCGAAGTCAGCTGCCAACGACTTCTACTGTGTAATACTTTGAGATAGTATGATTGATGCACAATTCTGGCCCAAAAAATATTAAAAAAATGTTCTGAAAATGCCCGAATAAACTAGTTTCAGAATATGCTTTTTGTTATGTATTATAAAAAAAGTAGTATTTTATAGTACATTTAAGAAATTCAATATGAAACGAAGTCAGTGAGTCTATTTTAAAAAATGGAAATTCGTAGCTGTTCGCAGAGACATCCAATCACTACCAAGTTGTTTTAATCAAAAAGAGTATGTTATAAAAGCAAGATCAAAAGTAATTTCAAATTTTGGTAATCGTTTTAGCAATTTTAGTGACCAGAAATCGAAAATCATTTTTTGCGTGTTTTTCTTAACCAGCTTATATCGTTGCCATATGCCCTTAAGCAAGATTCTAAGATTCTTGTTCTAATGACGTGAAATTCTTCCCATTTACAATTTTATTCTCAATCTCAATTTTGAACTCTTTAAGCTATAGAATTTATGTTATTAAGCTTTCTAGAACATTTCCCCACAGTTTTTGGCTTCTTTACTAGAATGGCTTTCTTTACGACACTGAGTTCAAACTGGAGCTGACTTCTTTTGTTTCGTATGGGCTTTTTCAAGATAATAATTTCACAGCCGTTGGCTACTTCTTCCAGAACTTTTATGTCCCATAGCACTGACGGTTACACTATAGTAAAGAAAACAAAAGCAATTTTATATAACGCTGCTATTGTCTGGCACTAACCCTACAATAATATTTTTTGGTTTTATTACACCATTGTGCTCAAGTCTGTCATCGTATTTTACCAGTATAAAAGGTGGTAAAGTCAGGTCAGAGCCATCTTACGGCAATTATCAACTGCAAAGGCATTGTGTTCTTGCAGAGTTTTTCGAATTTGCCCTGTCACCGCGACAGAAAACGACTTTGCCCTTTAGCCCCCCGTAACGACAGCTCGATCGGTGCTTTTTTGCCAGCCCTAAGCTGTTCTTGTTCACCTCACTAAAGGCATCGTCCTCGAACAGAGGAGGAGTGGAAATGCAGCCAGTATTTCGTACTCGGCCGTAGAGATTTCGCCATGGGATAGGCCTATGGGACTTGTTTCGTCTTTCAGTGCAAAGCGAGGCGAAACTCGTAGAACTCGTTTATTAGCCTTTTATGTACCAGTATTATGTTTCAGCGCCCCAATGGCAGTGGTGTGTTACACAACAACATCAGCGAGCCGGTATGATTCGTATGATTGCTAGCATAACAACGGCGTAGCAACGATTCAATTTATAATAGAATGGACGGGGACCTTCTCGTGCCTACTGTAGCACTAGATCATAATTGTGAGAATAATTTCATACAAACTCCAAAATTCTATAGGGTTCTTCTATAAGCTACTGTCTACTATTGAGAATGATTCAACTAAAAAAGTATAAATAAATAGCAAACAGTATGGATGCAAGGATCCACTTGAACTTGCTCTGTTCTGAGTTTGCACACAATGCGCTGTACAAGACGAAAATCATACAATTTAGCCATCCTACCTTGAATGTGCAATTATAGATAGTACATGGGTCATTTATAAAATCGTGACGACGGATTTGACTGCGGTTTTTGCGCCCACAGGAGCATAACTCATAAAAAAAAAGGCATCACCTCAATGCTCAACTCAGTCATTTCCAGTGTCTGAATTTTATCATACATAAGCAGGGAAACCATTCGAGTAGAGTTAGAAATCAAAAAGATGCGGTTGTTGGAGTGCTTGCGCGTTGCGACGGTCGCGCCATCGTCACGATTTTTCGAATGCCCTCTAATATTGCGCGTTCTATCGTAAATTTTGTGGGCAATCTCTATGCATTATATGGGAACTCTATATCAAATTGCTATCGCTAATTCCTGGAGAGAACACAATAAGAAAAAGACGTTGCAAAAGAATGTACTGGAACATAAACTCTATAAGGCCATTGACGAGACCGAAGACGCAATGTGTGCACTCTGTGCATGCACATTTTAGGGATAAAGTGATTAAACAAGCTAGGCAAAACTTAGAACTGGAAATAATTCGAACTTCGAAAAAATCATGCAAGGTGCTGCCCTTTCACCTTGCTTTTCTGAATAATTTTACAGAACTATGCTGACTCAATTTCTTAGACTTTCTCCATATTTTACTCTTTTCTCTCTCCTTGACCTCCTATTACAAAGTTTTTGAACAAGTCAGCTACTGCTTACAAAATGCTGTGATATCTTCTTTTTTCAAAGAATAACATCTGCGGATCACACCTTCTTGTAACTAATACGCTGCTCTATTCAAGGTAATCGTTACAAATTCAACAACAAAAATACGGCTTTTTTTAGAATAGTTGCTGAATTTTTAGCTGCCTTATGTCACTCAATAGCCGATAGTGATCGCTTTGAGCCACTTCTTTATGCAAAAATTACCTCAGTTCTATAGATAAAATCAAAAGAAATTGACGGTATCTCATCTGCTTCTTCTCAGTTTCAAAAAACAAAAAACCTTTTCATAGCTAAACTGCCTTCTCTTGTGCTTCGTACTTTGACTCCCTTTCTTTCTTCTGTCACTGTCTCCTCGTATGCCGAATTATGATTACCTGTCACTC